AGCAAGGCAGGCCAACACTCAAATGCAGGAAATACAGAGAACACCACAAAGTTATTCCGCAAGAAGAGCAACCCAAAGGCACATAATCGTCAGATTCAACAAAGTTGAAACAGAGGAGAAAATACTAAGGGCAGCCAGAGAAAAAGGTCGGGTCACCCAGAAAGGGAAGCCCATCAGACTCACAGCAGATCTCTCAGCAGAAACTCTACAAGCCAGAAGAGAGGGGGGCCAATATTCAACATCCTTAAAGAAAAGAACTTTCAACCCAGAATTTCATATACAGCCAAACTGAGCTTCATAAATGAAGGAAAAATAAAATCCTTTGTGAACAAGCAAGTACTCAGAGAGTTTGTCACCACCAGGCCTGCTTTACAAGAGTTCCTGAAAGAGGCACTACACATAGAAAGGAACAACCAGTACCAGCCATTCCAAAATCACACCAAATGCTAAAGAGCATCAACATAATGAAGAATCTACAACAACTAAGGGGCAAAACAGCCAGCTACCATCAAAATGGCGGTATCAAATTCACATATAACAATATTAACCCTAAATGTAAATGGACTAAATGCACCAATCAAAAGACACAGACTGGCAAATTGGATACAAATCCAAAACCCATCAGTGTACTGTATCCAGGAAACCCATCTCACATGCAAGGATACACAAAGGCTCAAAATAAAGAAATGGAGGAAAATTGACCAAGCAAATGGAGAGCAAAAAACAGCAGGAGTTGTAATTCCCATCTCTAATAAAATATATTTTAAAGCAACAAAGATCAAAAGAGACAAAGAAGGCCATTACATAATGGTAAAAGGATCGATACAACAAGAAGAGCTAACGATTCTAAACATATATGGACCCAATAAAGGGGCACCCAGATACATAAGGCAAGTTCTTAATGACTTAAAAAGAGACTTAGACTCCCACACAATAATAGTGGGAGACTATAACACTCCACTATCAATAGTAGAAATATCAACCAGACAGAAAATCAACAAGGATATCCAGGGATTGGACTCAGACCTGGAGCAAGCAAACCTGATAGACATTTACAGAACTCTCCACCCCAAATCCACAGAATATACATTCTTCTCAGCACCACACACACCTACTCTAAAATTGACCACATAATTAGAAGTAAAGCACTCTTCAGCAAATGCAAAACAACTGAAATCATAACAAACAGTCTCTCAGACCATAGTGCAATCAAGTTAGAACTTAGAATTCAGAAACCAACCCAGAACTGCACAGCTTCATGGAAACTGAACAACTGGCTCTTGAATGTTGACTGGATAAACAAGGAAATGAAGGCAGAAATAAAGAAGTTCTTCGAAACCAATGAGAATGAAGACACAACATGCCAGAATTCTGGGACACATTTAAAGTAGTCTCTAGAGGAAAATATATAGCAATAAGTGCCCATATGAGGAGAATGGAGAGATCCAAAATTGACACCCTATTGTCAAAATTGAAAGAGCTAGAGGAGCAAGATCAAAAAAACTAAAAAACCCACCAAAAGACAAGAAATAACTAAGATCAGAGCAGAACTGAAGGAGATAGAGACACGAAAATCCCTTCAAAAAATCAATAAATCCAAGAGCTGGTTTTTTCAAAAGATCAACAAAATAGACAGACCACTAGCCAGACTGATAAAAAGGAAATGAGAGAACAACCAAATAGATGCAATAAAAAATGATAAAGGGGAAATCACCACAGATTCTCCAGAAATTCAAACCATCTTCAGAGAATATTACAAACAACTCTATGCACATAAACTAGTAATTCCTGGACTCCTGTGTCCTCCCAAGCCTAAACCAGGAGGAAGCTGAAACTATGAATAGACCAATAACAAGGTCAGAAGTCGAGGCAGCAATTAAGGGCCTACCACACAAAAAAAGCGCAGGTCCAAATTGGCTCACAGCCAAATTCTACCAGATATACAAAGAGGACCTGGTACCATTCCTTCTGAAACCATTCCAAATAATCCAAAAAGAGGGAATCCTTCCCAAATCACTTTATGAGACCAATATCATCCTGATATTAAAACCCGGCAGAGACTCAACAAGAAAAGAAAACCTCAGGACAATATCCATGATGAACATAGATGCAAAAATCTTTAATAAAATATTGGCAAGCCGATTGCAACAGCAAATCAAAAAACTTATCCATCATGATCAGGTAGGATTCATACCAGAAATGCAAGGCTGGTTCAACACATGCAAGTCTATAAATGTAATTCACCACATAAACAGAACCAAAAACAAAAACCACATGATTATCTCAATTGATGCAGAGAAGGCATTCGACAAAATTCAACAGCCCTTTATGCTAAAAACCCTCAATAAACTTGGTATCCATGGAACGTATCTCAAAGTAATAAAAGCTATTTATGACAAACCAACAGCCAATATCATACTGAATGGGCAAAAACTGGAAGCATTCCCTTTGAAATCAGGCACTAGACAAGGATGCCCTCCTTCACCACTCCTATTCAATATAGTACTGGAATTTCTAGCCAGAGCAATCAGGCAAGAGAAAGAAATAAAGCATATTCAAATAGGAAAGGTGGAAGCCAAATTGTCCCTATTTGCAGACGAAATGATAGTATACCTAGAAGACCCCATCGCCTCAGCCCAAAAACTCTTGAAACTGATAAGCAACTTCAGCAAAGTCTCAGGATATAAAATCAACGTGCAAAAATCACAAGCATTCCTCTACACCAATAACACACTTAAAGAAAGCCAAATCAAGAACGAACTGCCATTCACAATTGCTACAAAAAAATAAAATACCTTGGAATACAACTCACAAGGAACGTAAGGAACCTCTTCAAGGAAAACTACAAACCACTGCTCAACGAAATAAGAGAGGACAAAAACAAATGGAGAAACATTCCATGTTCATGGTTAGGAAGAATTAATATCGTGAAAATGGCTATACTACCCAAAGTAATTTACAGAATCAATGCTATCCTCATCAAGCTACCATTGACTTTCTTCACAGAACTGGAAAAAACCACCATGAACTTCATATGGAACCAAAAGAGAGCATGCATAGCCAAGTCAATTCTAAGCAAAAAGAACACAGCAGGGGGCATCATACTACCGGATTTCAGACTATACTACAAGGCTACAGTAATCAAAACAGCATGGTACTCGTACCAAAACACAGATATAGACCAATGGAACAGAACAGAGGCATCGGACGCAACACAACATATCTACAACCATACAATCTTTGATAAACCTGACAAAAACAAGCAATGGAGAAAGGATTCCCTGTTTAATAAATGGTGTTGGGAAAACTGGCTAGCTATGTGCAGAAACTGGACCCCTTCCTGACACCTTACACTAAAATTAACTCCTGATGGATTAAAGACTTAAACATAAGACCTGGCACCGTAAAAACCCTAGAAGGAAATCTAGGCAAAACCATCCAGGACATAGGAGTAGGCAAAAACTTCATGACCAAAACACCAAAAGCATTGGCAACAAAAGCCAAAATAGACAAATGAGACCTAATCAAACTCCACAGCTTCTGCACAGCAAAAGAAACAGTCTCTAGAGTGAATCAGCAACCAACAGAATGGAAAAACATTTTTGCAGTTTACCCATCTGACAAAGGGCTGATATGCAGAATTTACAAAGAACACAAACAGATTTACAGGAAAAAAACAAACAAGCCCATTCAAAAGTGGGCAAAGGATATGAACAGACACTTTACAAAAGAAGACATATATGAGGCCAACAATCACATGAGAAAATGCTCATCATCACTGGTCATCAGAGAGATGCAAATCAAAACCACATTGAGATACCATCTCACGCCAGTTAGAATGGTGATCATTAAAAAATCTGGAGACAACAGATGCTGGAGAGGATGTGGAGAAAAAGGAACACTTTTACACTGTTGGTGGGAGTGTAAATTAGTTCATCCATTGTGGAAGACAGTGTGGCAATTCCTCAAGGCCTTAGAAATAGAAATTCCACTTGACCCAGCAATCCCATAACTGGGTATATATCCAAAGGACTATAAATCATTCTACTATAAGGACACATGCACACGAATGTTCATTGCAGCACTGTTTACAATAGCAAAGACTTGGAACCAACCCAAATGCCCATTGATAATAGACTGGATTGGGAAAATGTGGCACATATACACCATGGAATATTATGCAGCAATCAGAAATGATGAGTTCATGTCGTTTGTAGGGACATGGATGAATCTGGAGAACATCATTCTCAGCAAACTGACACAAGAACAGAAAATGAAATACCGCATATTCTCACTCATAGGCGGGTGATGAAAAATGAGAACACATGGACACAGGAAGGGGAGTACTAAACACTGGGGTCTATTGGGGGGAAAAGGGGCAGGCCAGTGGGGGGGGAGCTGGGGAGGGATAGCCTGGGGAGAAATGCCAAATGTGGGTGAAGGGGAGAAAGGAGGCAAAACACACTGTCATGTGTGTACCTATGCAACTGTCTTGCATGTTCTGCACATGTACCCCAAAACCTACAATCCAATAAAAAATTAAAAATAAAATAAGTTGGAGCTGGGCTCTGTTGCAAGGGCATTGGGAAATTATTGACAGCATCTTAATTGCAAAGTGTCTGAAACTTAGTGACAGAGTGGTTGGCTGCTGGGACCAGTGCTCCAGCAGCCTGGCTCTTGGCATCTTGGGATCTTGGCATGAGGCTGGGCCACAGAGGAGGGATCTGGGGGCCGGAGGTGCTGAGGAGTGATCTGCAGTGGGGGCTGAGGAGTGATCTGAAGGTTGGGGTCTGAGGAGTGATCTGGGGACTGGGGGGCTGAGGAGTGATCTAGGGGCTGGGGAAGCTGAGGAGTGATCTGCAGGAGGGGCTGAGGAGTGATCTATGGGGGGGGCTGAGGAGTGATCTGGGGGCTGGGGGGGCTGAGAAGTGATCTGGGGGTGGTGGACTGAGGAGTGATCTTCAGCGGTAGCTGAGGAGTGATCTATGGGGGGTTTAGGAGTGATCTGTGGGCTGGGGGGCTGATGAGTGATCTGGGGGCTGGGGGGGCTGAGGATTGATCTCGGGGTTGGAGGGGCTGGCGGGTAGGGAGGAGAGGCCTGAGGGTCACCCCCCAGCACAGGTCCTGCCCCAGTGGCCCTCTCGGCGTGTCTCACAGGGATCCAGGTGACGATGGGCTCTAACTCAAGACTGAACGTGAGTTTCCCAGAAGACAGAAATGCTGCATAAATAACCACATGAGAACCCACAGTCGAGTGATATTTGTCACACCTTTACATTTGTTTGTTTGGTTTTATTTTGAAATATCTTTTCTACATAGTGGAGGTTATTAGAATCTTAATTATAAGTAATTATTTCCAACTTAATCAAGACCAATATAATAATCATTCCCAGCTTTGTCAACACTCATGTAAGTAATACATTTAGTCTATTAAAGGTTTGGATGAAACAACTGCCTGGAGTTAAATCTCCAAATAATTTGGAAAGGCCAGGTCATTGCCCTTGATCTCCCTGAGACTGTGCTGTGCATGGATGCTGCCAACACTACCTAGGTTGCTTTGCAGTAGCCATGTCCAGACCCACGGGCCCCACCTCCCAGGCAGCCCTGAGCACCTCTGCCAATGGCTGTGTCCTACAGCACAGCCTGCTCTGCCCATGCATATGGCAGGTGGAAAGTGCCAGGCACAGCAGTCCACCCGTGGCAGTGGGAGTGGTGGGCAATGTCCCCAGCCCCCACCTCCTCAGGATGGGGAGGCCTTTCAGGGGCATGTACAGCCCTGTCTTAGGGTCTCCTTGAAGGATGGAGCCCCAGGTGCCCTTGCTGGGAGCCCGCTAGGTTTTGAGCATCTGGTTGGCTGCATTCTCTCCAGCCCACAGTCCCACTGTTGTTTCCTGGAACCAGCTCCCAAGAAACACGCTAGCATCCGACCCCTTTTGCAGAACCTGCCCCTTTCTATTTCAGTGACCTTCAGGCATGTCCTGCTGCCCTGTACGCTCTGGCTTGTATCTGGAAATGGAGGCATCATCTCATGTAGCAGCAAGATTGTGACTTTTAAGATAAAGCAGCCTCAAAACAGAAAATGATGAAAAAGGCAAAAATTGCTCAAAGTTAACCCCTGTCTCCTTCTTCAGAGAATTAGAAATTGATGTTGGAAATAGATGCTAGGTGCCTCCAAGAAAAATCAGCCCTGAGACAATGTATCTTTCAGCAACAAAGTTTTTACTTCCTGGACTGCCAGAAGGTACCCTCGCTAGCCATCATCCCACAAAAGTACAATGAATAAAGGAAAGCAGACAAATTTATCCCTTATGCATTTGGGGTCATTCTTACTGCTGTGTCTGATCTCCATTGGCTGGAACCAGGACTCACAATCTAAACTAAAACCCGTTAGGCTAATAACTTAAAACTTTCTAAACAGGTAAATGCAATGGAGAGCTGCGACATGCCTGTGAGCACGTCCAACACAGATATCTAGGTTAAGTACAAGGGCATAGAATGTACTAGGTGCCTGTAAGCATGGCATGTCTAACAGCTACATAGGATAGGGCTTAACAAAGTTATTAGCACACTTATTCTTTAACAAGAAAGGAAACTTTAAAGAAGAACTGTTATACTTCGCACAAGAGGAATCCCACCTCTCACCTCTTTCCCAGGACAGGTGAGATGGCAGAGCCACCTCTGAGAAGGTGACATGGTTGGCAGCTGCTCAGAATGTGAGAACAGTGACAGGCAGGTGTTGTCCTCCTCCTGGGATTGGCTCGCAGAGAGGGTCTTTGCTGACACATTTTCCATTTTCAAGATAAATCAATGGAAGAAATCTGAAGTTCCCGCTGTGTTTGCTACCTAGATGTCACAGCAGCCTTTGCCTCCACTTCACGCACACCCACTCTTCCCTTCAAACAAATGGTGTAAAATGAGCTTTGCTGTTTCTTTGTGGACAGACTAGATCATGTAGCTGATCATGTTGCTCCTTCCACTTGGGCCATTAGGAAGCACATTATCACACTTGAAAGGTCCTCTGCATCCTACATATCTGCAATCTTACTTCCTCCAGGATAAAAATGGTTTCTCTGTGCCATTTTATTTCTATTTGTCATTATGCTTTTCAACTTCTATGCATTATTTTAAGACACTTCAGATATTTTGGAGATGAGTAGAATGTGGCTACCTACATGCATACACAAAAACACTGAGCAGACACTCACAGGCACATAAATGCCACATCCAGACCTGAAGTCACAGGATCTGAGTTCTTGATGTGATTACAAAGATGTAAAGAAGGAACTGGCAAAACCAGCAAACAGTCAATCAGTGCTCTGAATATATAAGGAAGGCACAAACCGGTAAGAAAAATACAAATTACCCCATGGGGAAATGGTGAAGACTCAGAGTCCTTTCACCACAGAGAGGACAAGAATGATCAGCAGACCTGTGCAAAGCTGCCTGGCCTCTTATGTAATCGGGAGACAGAATATTGAAACTGAAATGAAAGATCATTCCACAGCATCAGGCTGGCAATGTTTAAAAGTCAGCAAATCCCAGGCACAGATGAGGGTTGGGAGTCACTGCCAGCCCTATTTACAAGGCACACAGACCTGGATGCCATAATGCAGGTTTTCCTTTGGCCCACGAGCTCCCTGAGCTGTGGTTTCTGTTTAATCACACAGGCTCCATCTGGCAGGTGGGAACAGAAGCAGCACAGAGCAGAGGACAATCACCCATGAGGCTGAAGAAGCAAAAGCTGCAATGCCCTTCTCTTGCACAGCTCCTTTCTCAGCCTTTCCTTTCCCATGTAGATAAATAGTCACTTCTCTACTCAGAATTTAGTATTATTTTCTTCAAATGTGTAAGCAGCAAGCCTTGTAAACCTGGCACTTTCCTGGCCTGGTGAACTCACCGTTGTGTACAATCTTCCTTCACTGTTCATGGCAATGAAGAGGGCACTTCTCACTCCAAAGAGACTCACCATGCCTTGCTCCACAGTGGAAATTTCCAGCAGGCCTGACAAGGAAACAGGAACCACATTACCTAAGGCTCGTGCAAATCAGAGTGAGAACTTGAGCCAACAAGGGCATCCCAGTCCATCCCCCTTCTCCTAGAAAGTCAGACTCTCTGTCACCCCTTCCATGATCCCTCTAAATCGAGGAGACTCTGGCTGCTAGACTCATCAAGTGCTGCCATGGTGCTGTTAAAAGTCCACTTCTGCAAGGGAAAGTTCTGATGTCAGAGTTAGGGACTGCAATGACCACTTAGTTATCTCTTTAAGATGAGCTTTGAATCTGAGCTTTCAATGACAAAATTACTTGAGGTCCTTGACTTGGGTAAAAATATAAATTCTGATTATCATTATTCCTAATGTGTACTCTACATGTTTCAGCAAATCTCAACCCACCTAATCTTGAAAACACAGCAGCCAGACCATGGCCAATGGCTTTCTTGGATCCTGCAGCCCCCGTCCTTTCTTGGATAGGAGACTAACCATACAGCAACTTGTCAGCTTGCAGGGTAAGAACCTGGAGACAGAGGGAGCTCACTGCAGTAAAAAGAAGGATGTGCTTCAGTTGGACATTTTGCAATTGAGTTTCCTTTTCTTCTCCAAGAGGGAAGCTGAATAAAAATGAGTTTGTGTCTAATTTGATCCCAGTATACTAACTCATTCTCCCTACCTCTGCCTTGGGGGCTTCCCAGACTTATGGTTCCCAGTGGTCTTACAAGGCATCAGATGGGCCTGTAATGTTGCAATAGTTACTGCCACTGAGGATCTAACCAAGATGATAGCAAATAACACCAGGATGCTTGGACCCCAGTATATCAAACCTGCACCCAGGCAGAGTCCCACAGAGTCATCTAAGTGGTGAGCAGCATTTCTGCCCCCTTTATAGTGCATCATGTCCACTAGAGAAAGGCACCTTCACCTTTTAGTCCTGCATGAGCCCAAGCCCCCAAGCGTCCCAAATGGCTGTAGCTGGCACTCACCATAGGGGGTCTCCTTGTGGGTTCCACTGATCCGGCCGTCGGGGAGCACCTGGAGGTGAAAGCCAATGCCCATGTTGCAGTAGAGCCTCTGCTGCCACTTGATCCCCACCAGGTAGCCACTTTCCCAATTTACCCTGGTGATCTCTCCAGCTAGCCCTGTGCAAGACCTGGACAGCAGGGTACCCCAGCCTCTTGAGTCCAGCTGCCTGTCATTGGCAGGGGAGCCCGCAAGCAAGGATACTACCATGCCCACTAGGATGCCTAGGAAGATGAGAGCCCACAGCGTGCCCTGAAGACATTCTGCTCCCTGGGACATAGTGATGAACAGCCTCTGTCCCAGGGCCATCCATCTTGCCTCTCAGGCACGTGGTCAGAATTAATGGCCCTAAAAATAACACCCTTCTTGTTTTTCTCCCTCCCACATGGTGGCAGGGGCTTATTGTTGGAAGGCAGATGAAGGCTGCTGACATGAAACCAAAGCCTGCATTGGGCACTTGGGTTGAGAGCAGAGGGACCCGAGCTGAGCCGCGGCTGGCAGAGACCATAGCTCGGGTACACTCTCTAGCTCACCTGCTTGCTCCATGTTGATGATATTTGACTTGACCTATCTTTATAGTTGGTTCAGCAGCCTGGTCCTCCCCTCCACCCATCATCACCCTGACGTTAACCCACCCAGCTCACTTATCCAGGGCTGTAACATTAACTTGCTCTTGGGCCTGGCTGCCTCCCCAGACCCCCATCAGCCTCCACACTCCCCAGGGGTTCTGGCAGCCACTGCCATTCCAACTATGAGGCAGGAATGAAGTGAGCAGGGAGCTTCTGTAGGGTAATGGGGAGCTGGCTGGGGGCCCAGGAAAAGAGAGGCGAGAGGCCACCCAGGATCCATACTGGGCAGAAGTTCTCAGCCTGGCAGCACTGGCTCCTTATTTAGAGGGCAATAGGTAGAGGCAGGGATGGGAGAAGGCTTGTGGTGGTGTGACCATAGCCTGCAAGTCACCCTTGGGACCTTTTCATGGAAACAGCTCATGGTGGAGGGGAACACTGAAAGGCCAATCCCTTTCAGCAGGAGTGCATAAAAATTCTCAGGTCATGGGAATGGGGGTTGTCCAAGGAGCTTTAAGATTGTGGAGGGAGTTGCTGGGTGTGGTAATCTCAGCACTTTGGGAGACTGAGGCAGGCAGATCACCTGAGGTCAGGAGTTCAAGACCAGCCTGGCCAACATGGTGAAACCCCATCTCTACTAAAAATACAAAAACTAGCCGGGCGTGGTGGTGGGCGCCTGTAATCCCAGCTACTCAGGATGCTGAGATATGAGAATAGCTTGAACCTGGGTGGCTGAGATTGCAGTGAGCCAAGATCCTGCCATTGCACTCCAGGCTGGGTGACAGAGCGAGACTCTGTTTCAAAACAAACAAACAACAAAAGATCTTGATTTTGGAGGGAGTGAGGGCAAGGGCAAGGTTTGCCTGCTCACTGTCTTGGTTGCAGCATTCACCCAGGATGGAAGTTGTGTCTGGCCTTTGACATAGCCCACTGGCCATTCTCCTTCCTGGATTTTTCCGTGGCATGTGACTGACATTATTCCCATTTCACAGATGAGGAAGCTAAGGCTTAGAGAGATTAAGTGACTTGCCCAAGTTACCACAGCTAATAAGTAGCAAAGCCAGAACTCCTAGGGTCTGCCTGAGACTAAAGCCTGTGCGTGTTTGATGCTTGCAGTAGAAGTTGGCTGGTCCAAAGAGTCTATTTAGCTCCTGAAATGCCAATAGCACATCACAGAGTTATTTCAGTAGCATAAAATGATTCATTTGTTAAAAGAAAAAAAAAAGAACTTGAGTGTCTTTGATGTACATGGGAACGTCTGTATTTGCAGATAACTTTTGCTGGGCTGATATTACGCCCAGAAACTAGTAAAAGTATTTCTGCCAGGAAGAATATTTCTACATTTCTACATTATTTCTACATTCACTTTTCTTTTCCCCATATTACGTTTAAATAGATTACATGTCTAACTGAAGTAAAAAAAAAAATGTTAAGCTACCAAAAAACCTACCCCACAAATTGCTATAGTATATAAAAAGGAACTATTAATATCTCTGAGGGTGAAAAAGTTAACAAGGGTCACCTGGGGAATTGAGTTTAAAATCCTATTTCTTGTACTTCTATCCAGGTCTTAATCTGTTGGTGAGACATTGGCACTGATCATGCAGGGATTGGAAGGAGTGTGTGAGCTGATGACAGTGACATACAGATGGATTTGAGCCTCCTGAGCAGCAGAGCTGGTCCCAGCGGGTGGCTCCCTCAGCCACAGTCTGCATGCATGCTGCAGGCTGCAGGAAGCCTGGAAAAGCTGCTGGGGCAAGTTTCATGGCCCAAGGACTCTATTGAGGCACTAAACCTTCTGCTGTGCCCTGGGTTTCAGCCACCAGCCTATGGCTTCTACCTGCCTTCTCTCTGCCCTTCTGCCCATTCACTGGGTTTGATGCTTGGATCAAATTTCTGTCAAGCCATGTAATTCAGTGTTGCCCTAGACATGCCCTCTCAGATCCTGTGAAACCCAGATATCTATTATTACCCTCAGCTGGTAAACTGAATGGAGAGGGCCATAGGCACCCCTTATTCCTACTCTCACCAAGCTTCCCCATTGGTTTCCTCTACCCAATGGGCCATTGCCCCATACCCAATCTCATCACCACCAGCACTGCCATTTCCCAAAAGGAAAGATGATGCTTCATGGGCTCAGATTGAGTCTTCCATGTAGGCCTTCAATGGAAAATTGTTTTTAAAAAAAATCTTTCTGCAAAGTAAGAGTTTCATGAATAATTCAGAGAAAGTTGTCAACAAAAAGAACTTCACTTTGGATTTCCTGCTGGATTTCATATACTTAAGCTTTCATGGATGCAAAAGCAGTGGGACACTTTCTCAGTGATGTGGTATGGAATCTTGTGGTAATTATGCTGGTGGTCCTCACTTAGGGAAGAGACAGTCCAGAAACATTTTGGATGGTAAAAAGTCAGTCTGAAATTAACACTTGCCTTGGATAATTGGAGAGGTGCTCACCAGCAGAGCTCAGAATCTCTGTGGAATTTCTTGGTACCCATCCACTTTGGAACTGTCTTAGGAGAGGGATTAAACTATAACAATGTCCATGCCATATACCAATAAAAATGGTGAAGCTTCTTTGATTCACCTCATCCTAGATTCCTTGCTGTGCAGGGGTTGTGGTTGATGTCTCATAAAGGAAGGCTTTGGAATGGGGATACCTGGCTATGAATCTCAACTCCACCATTCATTAGCTGTGTGATCTTGGGAAAGTTCTGGACCTCTCTGAGCTTCTTTATTTTGTCATCTGCAAAATGAGATCATTACTTCCAAAGGTTGTTATAGTGACAAGCAATAATAGATGCAACTGGCCCAGTGCAGAACACAGCATAGCTATTTCCCAGTAGTTTATCCGAAACACATTGAAAATCTCTCACCCAATTAAAGAGGATGAACCCAAAGTCAGAAAGACAATCTCTCATCTCAGGGGGTGGGAGAGACACATGGGCTTCTGGTTCTTCATTGCCATCCACCAGAGCATATGTTGTGATGGCTGCTAACATATGCAGAAGCAGGCAGCCCAGATTCCTCAAATGTTTTGAAAAGCAGTGAGAGCCTTGGTGTCACCCCCTGTTAAATATAAAACTTAAGTAATTCATTCTACTAAAAAGCCTGGGTCTTATTTTTATCAGGTGAAGCGACGAGGCCGTGTTCTAAACTCACCTCCTGTGCCTGTCTCTATAGCAAATTTACTGTGCTCATATAGCCATATATTTTCCTGAAGGCTGATTAAGTTGACAACTGCTAGGTCTTCTTGGCTTACCAGATTTGCACTTGACCCTTCTCTTGGGGCTTAGGGACCCATGGATGTGAAGTGATAGAGAAAAGATAACAGGTGAAGGAGGCCTCTTTCCATGGACCTCTCTTGCAAATAGTTGGCCAACAGCCTTTGAGGATTGTCAGTCAGTCTCACTGGATGAGCCAAGATCCATTGGAGGTGAGTGGGAAAATATGTTAATGTCTGTCTCCTTCCACAGAAGGGTTCTTGACCCCAAGGGGGATGCCAAGAAGCATAGATTGCTTGGATTTGGCAGTGCTTAGCCACACAAACCTTTCGCATCATCTGCATGATGGAACTCCCTTCGTCATACCAGGTGGTTGCTCTCTGTGACTCCTGTGTATTACATAATCAAGATCAAACACCCTAGGGGTGACCAGAAGGGAAAGCACATAAAACTCAGATAAGCCTCATCCATGTAGATTGTGAAAAGCTGTGCTTACTCGTATCTTTTACATTTGGTTTTGAAAAACTGGCATTTGCCTTTTTTTGTAGATAATTTAGAAAATATGGAAAATGATAAGGTGGAAAACAAAAGAGCTGTTTGTACTTAATGTCTTTCTATCTTTTGTCTCAGAGTCTGTCTTTGTGTGAGCTTGGCACAGATGCCTCCCTGTATCTCCTCTGAATTTTGCTCAGACAGGCACCTCTGCACCTATCCCTGTTTTTTTTTGTTTTGTTTTTGTTTTTTTTAGTGGTTGCGATTGCATGTGGGATTTAATCAGCATGAGATGGACGTGTGTAGAGATGAGGATCTAGGAAGGACTCCTGCCCTAGGCCTGAGCAAAGAGGGACATTTGCAGCTCATAAACATGCTGCAAAAGGGAGAATTCAAGAGAAAAAGTTTCAGCTGATCAACGGTGTCCAGGTTGGACTTCTGCAAGGACAATCCTGCGAACTATTCCCTGGAGAAACCTAAACTTTGCACTTTCCTAGTAGAACTCAACTTTTCCCAGGCCTCACTCACTTACACAGTGGGAGCCATTAACAGTCATAATCCACTTTTCCCTAGTTCATGCTTCTTCCAACTCATGTGGAATCTCACTCCACTACCAATCACCCCCAAGATATCCCTGCAGTTCCAGAGCATGTCTCACACATGTTCATGAACATATTATTGCTTCTGTGTGGGCATATTGCCAGGCACCTGTGTGGATCATCCTGTTCTTCAACCCTTCTACCTCCTGCTGGACAGCCCAGGGGTATTCCCTTTCTCACTACAGCTCAGCACCTGAAGCCCTCAAGGAGCCAGAGCTGCTTTATATTCTGTTTCAAAGCCAGGAGGAATGCCTTAGTCCCCTTCTTCATGTTATACCTGTTAAAGAAAATACCTGACCAGAACTACTCATGCCCTGGTGATCTGCTCATTTGAAGATTTTTTCAAACTCCATGCCCTGCAAAGGACTCAGTCTTGTTATGGGTTGAGCTAATCAGGTGGAATTTCCATTTTCTTCCATGTAGATTATTTTTCTGAAAGTCCCTCAACTCGTCATACAAATAAACTTCTGCTGGGGCCAGCCCATCCGCCTTGTTTAGATGTGTCTGGATCCTGGCTTGAGTTCAGACTGGAAACCCTGCCCCACTCCCAGAGACCCCTATAATGGGGAGAAAGGGAGTCCCTGAAAACACAGCTTTGTGGTCCAGTTGGTCACCAAGTATTTGCAGAGTTTTCTGGGAGGAAGGATATGATTCTCCTCTCCACACTAGAAATCATCTTCTTGCGTTAAAGTGCTTCTTGATCTATCCCTTCAATCTGAGTCCCATTGTGGCTGTGCCTCTCAGCGTGACTTCCTATCTCCTAGCACTGTCTTTCTTCTCTGTCTCACTCACACTCTCCCCTTCCCCCTCCTTACTATGCTCCAGCCATAGATGCAAGCCTAGAGGCTCAGCCAACTGCCAAGAAAGCAGCACCTCAGGGCTGGCTGACCACCATGGCCACACATCTCAGCTAAATTTGCAAAGGGTCAGAGGAGTCAGATAACTTTCTGGAACCTCAAAACCTAAGGGATTTTGGCTCTGCTCAGAGTTTTGTGGTTTCTCAGATTTGCCTTTCATGATCATCATCTAATAATACCTGCTGCATGCTGAGGCAGGCATGCATCCTGCCAGCAACCAAGCAAAGTTATGTAAAAGACTCACCCCTTAGTGGCAGGCTCCCCAGTGTGACACAGAAGGCCCTCCCTGTCCTGACCTTTCCTGGCCTCTCCAGCTCTATCTGCTGCCTCTCCCTCTCTGGGAATTATTGCTTCAGCAACCTTAAATTGCCTGTTGTTCCCAAACTGTGTGCTGTTTCTGCCTGATGCTTTTGCTCAAACTGTTCTCTCTTTGCCTGGTGAATTGCTTCCCCGTTTAAAGACTCAGCTTAAATGTCACCTCCAGAAGTAATCCCTGACAACCTTCCACCTGTCTTTAACTGGATTCAGTGGCCTGTTCCCCTCCCCTTTCCCTGCCTCATTAATATTTTGCACAATTATCTCTGTCACTGCCCTTACTGGGTTTATAATACTCTGACAAGGTACTGACTTTGATAGTGAAATTCTTAAGTCTTCAATGGCATCTTCCCCGTATATTCAGAACCAAGCACCATGCCTTCCAGGCAATACAGTTTATGAAATGTTTAAATAAATGTTGAATTAAAGGCTTAAAATCCACGGATTTCACCAGATGAGTTATACTTAAACAAGGTCCAAGTCCTCTATAGAGGAGTGATCAGAATTTTGGTAAGAGTGGGATATTAATTTGAAAAAACACTTTTGATATAATAATTTGCATTTGGTCATTTGAAATAATTACATTAAAAAATTCTGCTTTCACTATGATGCAGAAACTTGTGTTGGTCTTGTACTCTCATAATAAACAACAAGAACACTGGACAAATAAATGAAGCAGCAGTTTTTAAACATTGGATAACAGGAAACACAGGGCTATGATCCCTGAAAGAAAAGGAGACAAATAAAATGAACCCCATTATCAACTCCTTTCTCTGCCTGGAGGCACTCTCCGGACCTCAGAGCAGGAAAGGAGAACCCACACCGAGTACAGGGGTGCCCATGAGTGGAGGATTCAGAGATTGAAGTTTGATGAGGCCAAGGCAGTCACAGTTTTCAAGGTAGACTGCCAAAGCAGAGGAAGTGGCATAGAGAAAGAGCTGCAGAAAAAGGTATAGGTTTGCTCTTGTGTTTGTTGCTGAAAGCTAAGTCACACAAGTATGGAGGAAACTCCATGAAACTAAGAAAAGCACTGGCAGAAAACAGTAAGGTGAGCAATCCTGAGAGCTCACATGGGGAAGCTTTGTTCAGACCAGCCGGGTGGAGAAAACTAGATGTTCTCAGTGGAGAATATTTAGTAGAGACTCCAGAAAGGTCATGTCTTGGTAATAGGGATACACAGGCTCTGCAGGAACTGGATTTATTCTCTTACCCCAAATAATAAAACACTGAAAAAATACATCAAAGAACAGTTTTCAAAACATTAGACATCAGACAACAACAAATAGTGATTCTTGAGAAATGAGAAGCTGAAATGGATCCTACATGTCTACCAGCTTACTGATTTAAGAGAATTTTCAGGCATGGCTCAGGGAGGAGAATTCTTGTTGAATTCTGGAAAACACTTTGAATTGAGGAGATGAAGCTGACTGAGAAAGACTAAGGCAAAGAGGGCTTCAGGGAAGAGTAGCAGAGAGGAAAGAGCTGCACAAAAAAGAACCTAGATATGCATTGAGGGACCCCCCTCAAGTGGTAGCACCTGTGTACACTACCTGAGACTGGAGAAGCAACTAGACAAAAAGATTAGAGGGAGCAGTATCTGGAGCTCATACAAGACTGCAAACAGTACCTGTTCCCACCAGCCAGACTGAGGAAAATATTCTCATTCCTGGGGTGTTGGGTTGACTCTTGCCTCACTAGTGGGAAATAATTATCCTTAGACCAAATGCTTCTCTGATCCCACCTAACAAATATTATAAGCAAACACAAAAAGGATCAATCTGTTATCAAGAATATTAAATAGACTTTAGGAAAAAATTCAAGAATATTTATAGAAATAAAATACATCCAGCCCTGAACAGGGCAAAATTTACATATTAAATTGACATATAATAAAAAAATGCCAGTCATGCAGAGAGGTAGGATAATATGAGTCATAATGAGGAGAATAATAATAAAGTTGAAACCAACCCAGAATTAACACAGATGTTAGAATTAGCAGACATGAAAACAGTTATTATAACTGTATATGTTCAAAAAGTTAAAGGAAAGATAAAAAATGTTAATTAGAGACATGGAAGAGGTGAAAAAGATCCAAATCAAACTTCTGAAGATAAAAAGTACAATGCTTGAGATAAAAAATACACTAGATGGGGTAAAAGACAGGTTGGACACAGGTTGGACATTACAGAAGAAAACATTAATGAAAGTGAAAACATAACAATAGAAACTTTTCAACATGAATCACGGAGAAGAAACAATCTAAGAAATGAACAGAACAGACTTCTGGGTTATGGGCTGGTATGTAAGTAGCTTGAAAGTTGTAATTCCATCCTAAGAGCATGTAAAATCCCAACATACTAAAAAGTAATCAACACTTTTTCTCAGATTTGTTAGAGAAATGATGTCACAGGGCAAGCTGTTGCTTGAAAAACTAGTGATACAGACAGGCGAGTACAAAGAATTACAACTTGCTGGAGCAGAAACCCAGGAGCTGAAACCTCTATTCAAATCAGATCTAGGGTAGGGAAACCAGAGCTGTAATTGATGGATTGTTGGAGGCTTAGTGAATAAGACTGAGAGATAAAAACTCCATTGGAGGGTGGTGGTGGTTTTGCCTCCAGAAGCTCTATCAGGTTCTCATAATAAATATCAAATAAATCTAGATCAAAAACACTGTAACAGAAATGAAGAATGCCTTTGATGGGCTCATTAGTAGACTGGAGATGGCTGAGGAAAGAATCTCTGAACTTGAGGATATGACAATTGAGACTTAAAAGCAAAGAGAAAGAAGCAGAACAGAATATCCAAGAACTTTGGGACTACAGAAGATGTAATATATGAACAATGAGATATCAGTAGAAGGAAAAGAAAGAAATAGAAGCAATATTTGTAGCAATAATGACTGATAATTTCTCCCAAATTAATGTTAGAAGCTAAACCATAGATATAGAAAGTTTAGATAACACCAAACCAAATAAATGCCAAAACACTACACGTAGGAAATTATATTCAAATTTCAGAAAATTGAAGATAAAAAAACACTCTTGAAAGAATCCAGAGGAAAAAACACCTTATTTACAGAGTAGTATTGGAGCATACCCCAAAGTATGGTGAGTGGCATGCTGATTACTTTGAACTGAAGATTGGAAAGGTCTCAGAAGCAAGGCCTTTCTGAGCTTCTTCTGCCTTCCTATCTCCTGTCACTCCATGAAGTGAGTTATAGAAACCAGAAAGATTCCTGCTGGGCAGGATGGCTCACACCTATAATCCCAGCACTTTGGAAGGCCAAGGTGGGCGGATCAACTGAGGTTGGGAGTTCAAGACCAGCATAACCTATGTGGTGAAACCCTAGCTCTACTAAAAATACAAAAATTAGCCGGGCTGTGATGGCATGTACCTGTAATCCCAGCTACTAAGGCAGGAGAATCACTTTAACTTGGGAGGCAGAGGTTACAATGAGCCGAGATCATGCCACTACACTCCAGCCTGGGTGACAGAGGGAGACTCTGTCTCAAAAACAAAAACAAAAATAAAAACAAAACAACAACAAAAACAAAAACAATCCTTGTTTCCCAAGGTGAGTCATAGAAACTAGAACATCCCCCTCTCCCTCAAAGCAAGCCATAAAAACAAGGAAGGTCACTCTCTACCTTTCCCCTTCCCCCTTGAAGACCCTCATTCCAAGAGGTACTGCTCCATTCCTGGGAGGAAGGAATGCTACACAGAGAGGCCAAGAAGTATCTGAACAGACAGGCATTGCTGGGTTTTCCCTTTTCACTCTATTACCATTAGATCATATCTTTTAATCCAGTTACATTTTTACATGGCTGTCCATTCTTCGTTGCACATAAGCACAAAAACAGAAAGTTTCCCCTGGGTCCTTGTGTCTTCATTTCTGAAGTCTTAATTTTTCTTTCATTTTTAAAGGATAATTTCACAGGGTCCAGAATTCTAATTTGGTGGATTTTTCTCTCAACATTTTAAATATTTTACTCCACTCTCATTTTCATGGTTTTTGATGATATCAGATATAATTCTTATCTTTGCACCTGTAGGAATGAAAAGGTTGTGACACCTTTCCTCACAAATCACAAGGTTCATGGCCAATGGAAAAAAAAAGATAATTAGGTGGGTGTGGTGGTGACTGCCTATATCCCAGCTGCTCAGGAGGCTGAGGCAGAGAATTGCATGAACCCAGGAGGCAGAGGTTGCATTGAGCCGAGATTATGTCACCACATTCCAGCCTGTGTGACAGAGTGAGACTCTGTCTCAAAAAAAGGTAAATAGCAACAATGTATTGAATTATATTATTTATGCTTATGTATAAGTGAAATGATAATTATACTATTATACAGTTAATGGGAGGAAAAAATTAGAAATGTTTTATTATAATGTACTTGCACTGTATGTGAAGTGGTACTGTGCTATTTAAAACTTGGTCAGGCATGGTGGCTCATGCCTGTAATCCCAGCACATTGGGAGGCTGAGGCACTTAAGGCCAGGAGTTCAAGAGCAGCCTGGCCAACATGGTGAAAACCTGTCTCTACTAAAAATACAAAAATTAGCCAGGTGTGGTGGTGCACACCTGTAATTTCAGCTACTCAGGAGGCTGAGGCAGGAGAATCATTTGAACCTGGGAGATGGAGGTTGTAGTGAGCTGCATTAACTTCCCATTAACTTCCCTCCAGCCTGGGTGATGGAGCAAGACTTCATCTCAAAAAAAAAAAAAAAGAAAAGTGAACCTGAGGATGGGCACGATGACTCACATCTGTAATTCTAGCACTTTTGGAGGCTGAGGTGAGAGGATTGTTTGAGGCCAGGAGTTTGAAACCAGCCTGGTAAACATAGTGAGGCCTTGTCTCTATTAAAAAAAAGTGAAATAAATAAAGAAAAGCAAAAAGTAAAAGTGGGCTTGACTTTATTGTCAATGTATATTGCAAACACTAGTACAACCACTGGGGAAAAAAGTAAAAAAATAAGTATAGTTGATATGCTAAGAAATGAGATAAAATAGAATTATATAAAATGTTCAATTAAAACTAAGAAAAGCACAAAAAGAGCAGAAACAAAACCAGGAACAAATACTAAGGGCAATGAATAAAAACAAAGTAACAAATATGAGCATGTCAATTCAGTGATATCAATAATCACTCTAGACATCAACAAACTAAATACAGTAATTAAAAGAAATTTTCAGAGTGAATCCAAAAACAAGACCTAACTATATGTTGTCTACAAGATATGAACTTTAAAGTTTTTGTTTAAACAAAAACACATATATAGATTTAAAATACAGGAGTGGAGAAAGGTATACTACATTAACACTAATCAAAATAAAGTGGGAGTACCTATATTAGTTGCAGACAGTGCAGACTTCAGAGCAAGAATCCTTATCAGCAATAAAGCAGGACATTATATAATGATGAAGGTGTCAATACTAGAGAAAGACATAGCAATTCGTAACAAATAAATCCACTATTATAGGTAGAGACTTCAGCACCCCTCTATCAGAAATAGACAGTTACAGCAGGCAGAAAATCAGTAACGACATGGTTGAACTCAACAGCAACATGAATTAACTGAATATAATTTATGTCTATAGATAACTCACTCTAACAACAGCAAATTTCACATGATTCTCAAATATACATGGGATAGTCACTAAGTTAGACTAAATTCTGGACCATAAAACACAACTGAAAAAATGTGAAAGAATTGAAATGACATGATGTCTGCTCTCAGATTATAATGGAATTAAACTAGAAATCAATAACAGAACTATAGATGGAACATCTCCAAATGCTTGGAGACTAAACAATGCACTTCTAAATAACACATGGTAAAGAAAAACTTTCGAGGGAGGACCCAAGATGGCGCTGTGAGAACAACCCAGGATTGGAGCTCTTCTCGTTGAATCCGCAAACGGTGAGTCAGAGCGGCATTTCCAGACTGATCTTTGTTGCCCACAGAACGGGGAAACTCCCAAGTATAAAAAAGACACGGGACGCCAGGCAGTAGGTCTGCCTGGCGAAGCCGGCAGCCGGGGCGGCGGTGGCCGGCCCTACCCAGCAATCCCCACAGGGTGCGCTTGTCCGGGTGCCCTGTTGAACCGGCAACCTGAGACTTGAGAGGGCTGGACTTGAGACTGAATGAGACTTGGACAGTAGGCCAGCCCAGGGGATTGCAGGGATTGGGATACCCAGTGGGACGAACAAAACCGCGATTTCAAACTCTCCCGAGCAGACGGTCCGAGACGCTCTGTGAGGGAGGGGCGTCCACCACTACCGAGGCAACCCGCCCCAACTGAGATACACGCCCACTGCTGACGCAGCCAGCCGTTGCCGAGGCAACCCGCCCCAACGGAGATACACGCCCACTGCTGACGCAGCCAGCCGTTGCCAAGGCAACCCGCCCCAACTGAGATACACACCCATTGCTGACGCAGCCAGCCGTTGCCGAGGCAACCTGTCCCTACTGAGATACACGCCCACTGCTGACTCAGCCTGCCGTTGCTGAGGCAACACGCTACAACGAAGAGACTCTGCCGCAGGGTGTGGCGGAGACCACAGCAGAGCCTGCAGGAACAGCGCGAATCACACAACAGCAGGGCGGAGCCTCGACAGCCAAACAGTGGCTAGTCTGCCTCCTAGCTGGGCAGGACACCTGATCGGACATCCAAAAATAAAGCCCAAACCCCTCAACACAGAGCATTTGAGGGAAAAAAAAAGGGGGGGGTTTTAATGAGCTCAGTTGCAGCAGAATCAAACATAGCAGCCTAACAGCCCTGAATGAACAACAGAGTGCACAGCTCAGCAATTAAACCCCTATAAAGTACAAACTGTCTCCTCAAGCAGCTCCCTGACCCCTCTATATCCAAAAGACTGACATTAGGCAGGCATCATCCTGGGACAAAGAGAGCAGAAAAAGAAACTGGTAGCATCCCTCGCTGTGCCACAGCTGCTAGAGGTGCACCCCAGACAAGCAGGGTCTGGAGCGGACCTCAGCAGTCGTACAGCGAAGGGGCTAGATTGGTAGAAGGAAAACCAAGCAACAGAAATACTTCATCATCAACATTCTGGGTGTCAAATCAGAGACCCAAACGAAAAGTCAGCAACTACGCAGACGACCAGCGGACAAATCCACAAAGATGGGAAGAAACCAGCGCTAAAAGGAGGAAAACACCCGAAACCAGAACACCTCGCCTCCTAGAAAGGACCAAAACTCCTCACCAGCAAGGGAGCAAAGCTGGACGGAGAATGACTGTGACGAAATGACGGAATTAGACTTCAGAAGATGGATAATGAGAAACTTTGGTGAGCTAAAAGATCATGTATTAAATCAATGCAAAGAAACTAAGAACCTTGAAAAAAGATTTGAAAAAAGATTCGAGGAAATGATAACAAGAATGGATACCTTAGAGAGGAATATGAATGAATTAAAGGAGCTGAAAAACACAATACAAGAACTTCGCGAAGCAAACACAAGTTTCAATAGCCGAATTGACCAAGCAGAAGAAAGAATATCTGAGGTCGAAGACCAACTCAATGAAATAAAACGAGAAACCAAGATCAGAGAAAAAAGCGCAAAAAGGAATGAACAAAGTCTCCAAGAAATGTGGGACTATGTGAAGACCTAACCTACGTTTGATAGGTGTACCAGAAGGGGACGAAGAGAATGAATCCAAGCTGAAAAATACTCTTCAGGGCATCATCCAGGAAAATTTCCCCCACCTAGCAAGACAGGCCAACACTCAATTGCAGGAAATACAGAGAACACCACAAAGATATTCCGCAAGAAGAGCAACCCCAAGGCACATAATCATCAGATTCAACAGGGTTGAAATAAAGGAGAGAATACTAAGGGAAGCCAGAGAAGAAGGTCGGGTCACCCACAAAGGGAAGCCCATCAGACTCACAGCAGATCTCTCGGCAGAAACACTACAAGTCAGAAGAGAGTGGGGGCCAATATTCAACATTCTTAAAGAAAAGAACTTTCAACCCAGAATTTCATATCCAGCCAAACTGAGCTTCAGAAGTGAAGGAAGAATAAAATCCTTTGCGAACAAGCAAGTACTCAGAGATTTTGTCACCACCAGGCCTGCTTTACAAGAGCTCCTAAAAGAGGCACTACACATAGAAAGGATCAATCAGTACCGGCCATTCCAAAATCACACTGAATGCTAAAGAGCTTCAACATAATGAAGAATCTACAACAACTAACAGGCAAAACAGCCACTTAGCATCAAAATGGCAGTATCAAATTCACACATAACAATATTAACCCTAAATGTCAATGGACTAAATGCACCAATCAAAAGACACAGACTGGCAAATTGGATAAAAATCCAAAACCCATCAGTGTGCTGTATACAGGAAACCCATCTCACATGCAAGGATACACAAAGGCTCAAAATAAAGGGATGGAAGAAGATTTACCAAGCTAATGGAAAGCGAAAAAAAAGCAAAAGTTGCAATTCTCATCTCTGATAAAATAGACTTTAAAGTAACAAAGATCAAAAGAGACAAAGAAGGCCATTACATAATGGTAAAAGGATCGATACAACAAGAAGAGCTAACGATCCTAAACATATATGGACCCAACACAGGAGCACCCAGATACATAAGGCAAGTTCTTAATGACTTACAAAAGGACTTAGACTCCCACACAATAATAGTGGGAGACTTTAACACTCCACTGTCAATACTAGACAGATCAACCAGACAGAAAATCAACAAGGATATCCAGGGCTTGAACTCAGACCTGGAGCAAGCAAACCTGGTGGACATTTACAGAACTCTCCACCCCAAATCCACAGAATACACTTCTTCTCAGCACAACATCACACCTACTCTAAAATTGACCACATAATTGGAAGTAAAGCACTGCTCAACAAACGCCAAACAACTGAAATCATAACAAACAGCCTCTCAGACCATAGTGCAATCAAGTTAGAACTCAGAATTCAGAAACCGACCCAGAACCGCACAGCTTCATGGAAACTGAACAACTGGCTCTTGAATGTTGACTGGGTAAACAACGAAATGAAAGCAGAAATAAAGAAGTTCTTCAAAACCAATGAGAACGAAGACGCAACGTACCAGAACTTCTAGGACACATTTAAAGCAGTCTCTAGAGGAAAGTATATAGCAATAAGTGCTCATATGAGGAGAATGGAGAGATCCAAAAATGACACCCTATCGTCAAAATTGAAAGAGCTAGAGGAGCAAGATCAAAAAAACTCAAAACCCAGCAGAAGACAAGAAATTACTAAGATCAGAGCTGAGCTGAAGGAGATAGAGACACGAAAAACCCTTCAAAAAATCAATAAATCCAAGAGCTGGTTTTTTGAAAAGATCAACAAAATAGACAGACCACTAGCCACATTGATTAACAATAAAAGAGAGAACAACCAAATAGATGCAATAAAAAATGATAAAGGGGAAATCACCACAAATTACACAGAAATTCAAACCATCATCAGAGAATATTACAAACAACTATAAGCGCATAAACTAGTAAACCTGGAAGAAATGGATAAATTCCTGGACTCCTGTGTCCTCCCAAGCCTAAACCAGATGGAAGCTGAAACTATGAATAGACCAATAACAAGGTCTGAAGTCGAGGCAGCAATTAAGAGCCTACCTCACAAAAAAAGCCCAGGTCCAGACGGGTTCACAGCCAAATTCTACCAGACACACAAGGAGGAGCTGGTACCATTCCTTCTAAAACTATTTCAAACAATCCAGAAAGAGGGAATCCTTCCCAAATCATTTTATGAGACCAACATCATCCTGATACCAAAACCCGGCAGAGACCCAACGAGAAAAGAAAACCTCAGGCCAATATCCATGATGAACATAGATGCAAAAATCTTCAATAAAATATTGGCAAGCCGATTGCAACAGCAAATCAAAAAACTTATTCATCATGATCAAGTAGGATTCATCCCAGGGATGCAAGGCTGGTTCAACATACGCAAGTCTATCAGCGTAATTCACC